ATTGGAGCTTCAGCTTCAGCATCAGTGCTTCCAATGAATATTCAGGACTGATTTCCTTTAGGATGGACTGGTTGGATCTCCTTGCTGTCCAACAGACTGTCAAGAGTCTTCCACAGCCCCAAAGTTGGAAAGCAGCAATTCTTTGGCGCTCAGCCTTCTTTATGGTCCAGCTCTCACATCCATACATGACCATTTTCTCGGACCTCAGAACTGCAGAATGACAAACCTGCGCTGCTGGGAGCCACCAAGTTTGTGGTAACTTGTTACAGCAGCAGCAGGAAACTAATACTTTCATGAGTGGCACCCTGGTGGGAACTCTGCTCTGCTCCCCACTTCATAGAGGAACCTGGGGTATGCTTGCTGCAGGTAAGTGATGGGCTTAAATGAACATCGTGAGATTCTCTGTAATCTGCAGCACATGTCACAAAGCTGCACTGGGACTCAGGTGTGTTTTTCTGAAAACAGTGATCAAATAGACTTTAGCCTGTTTCCTGCTACCAGTCTGAGTGGCTAAAAATGTCATCTCATCATTCACATTTGCATTTTTTCAACTGTTTCTTTTCATCTTATTGGCCATTTGGTAATTTTTTACTCATACCCGTTCCTATTGATATGCAGGAGCTTTTCATATTTTCAGCATAAAACCATTGTTTGTCAGGTATATTATGAATATATATTTTTATATATTGGTAATATACTATATTTTTAATATTTTTTTGTTTATTTTTGTTTAAAGTGTGTTTTCTTATATCAAAACTTAATTTCTTAATTTTTTATAGCAAAATCTGTCCATCTTTTATAAGATGGCATTATAATTTTAAAAGACATTCTCCACTCCAAGACTGTACAAATATTTGTGTTTTCTTTTGATAACTGAAGGATACACTTTTCATATTTCACTCTTTGACACCTGTGGAATTCATTTTGGTGCAGAATAGTTAAGGGAATAAATTAATTTTTTCTTTCCTTTTTCTGAATTTCCATACGTTCCTGGCTCTGTGTCTGTATCCTCTGTACTGCGATCCATTGCTCTGACTTTCCTACAGTGGACACACAGCCCGAGCTACTGCCACTGGATAAGATCCTCCACCAGGTCAGCCGTGGGGCCGTCAGATGTGCTGTTCCTATTATCTTATCTTGGATTTCCAATTTATGAAGAGCTTACATCTATGTCTCTTTGTGTTGTTGTTTCAGTCTAATATATATAACATTCATATAATATATATAATATATAATATTTATATATTTTGTCTTACTCTTTCTTTTCCTTTTTTGCCATAACAATAAAAAATTCTTTTGTTAGTTTAAAAAAATGAATTCTGGTAATTTAAAAGCAGGACATATTCACTTTCTAGATAGCAGCTACGCTTGCACTACTAAAATTTCTAAAACATTTAAAACAGTATCATTAGTTTGATTATTTGGTGGTTATGAAAATGATACATGGCCATTTGTCTTTTCTCTTTTTAAATTATTTATCTTTTTAATTTAATTTTTGTTTTATATTGGAGTATAGCTGACTTACAATGCTGTTTAGTTTCAGGTATACCGTAAAAGTGATTCAGTGATACATATACATATAACCAGCATTTTTCAGATTTTTTCTCCCATACTGGTTAGTATGGAATATTGAGTAGAGTTCCCTGTGCTGTGGGTTTCCCAGGTGGCTCACTGGTAAAAAATCCATCTGCCAATGCAGGAGACACAGGAAACAGTTTTGATCCCTGGGTCAGGAAGATCCCCGAGGAGGAAATGGCACCCCACTCCAGTATTCTTGCATGAAAAATTCCATGGACAGAGGGGCCTGATGGGCTACAGTCCATGGAGCTGCAAAGAGCAGGACACGACTGAGCATGCAGCAGCCGCCTTGCGCGGTACAGTAGGTCCTTGTTGATGCATCTGTTTTGTATATAGCATTGTGCATAGGCTAATTCCAAACTCCTAATTTATCCCTTCTCCCCCACATTTCATAACCACACATTTATGTTTGAAGTCTGTTTCTACTTTGTAAGTAAGCTCATTTTGTATCATTTGTTAGACTCCACATACAAGTGGGATCATATGCTTTCTGTCTTTCTCTGTCTCGCTTCACTTAGTATGGTTATCTCTAGGTCCATCCACGTTGCTGCAAATGGCATAATCTGGTGGTTATGAAAATGACACATACTATTAAAATTATCAGAAACTGAAAATGTAAAGAAGAAGTGAAAGTCACTTGGCATCGTATCACCTGGAGAGGACGCCTGTTAGCAGTTAATGCTATAATTGATAGAATTTATAGACTGTCTGTCTAGGTAACTTTCCATTCATGCTGTTTGGTAGTGTGTTTTGTTTGTATAATAATATTTAGTATTATTTTTGTGTAAACAAATTAAAATATATATAATTTAATATCTGTAATATACATTATAATATATATAGTTATAAACTATAATATATATCTTTAAAAGTCATAATATTTTATTGTATGTATTTATCTGTACTCCTATTGTTGAATATTGAGTTCGTTTCTACCTTATACTATGAATATTATAAACAATACTGAAATGGATGTCCTGGTTCCATTATTTCTTTATGATTTCCCTGGTGGCTCAGACAATAAAGAATCTGCTTGCAGTGAAGGAGACCCAGGTTCAATCTCTGGGTCAGGAAGATCCCTTGAAGAAGGGCATGCAACCCTCTCCAGTATTCTTGCCTGGAGAATTCCAAGGACAGAGGAGCCTGGTGGGCTACAGTCCATGGGGTCACAAAGGGTTGGACATGACTTAGTGACTAACACTTTCACTTCCTCTCCAGTTGTTTGGTCAAAGATGTTGATGTAGTAGTGGCTTCTGTCCGTTGTTGCCTAATTACCATTTCAAGAGACTGTGCAATTTTGTATTTCCACTAACCATATAAAAAGCATCTCGTTGTCCCTATAGTCTAATCAGTATGAGCTTTATTGGGTTTTTTTGATAGTTATCAGGTTGGTGGTTAAAAATGTTATCTCATTATTTTATCTTTAATTGATTATTAACTTGAACATCTTTTCATATTTTCCATGATTATTCTTTGCCATTTGAATTTGTATGTTTCAATCAAGTAAAGAATGAAGCGGTGTCAATGGATGTCCTTTCTGAATGACACTTTGATGTCCAAGATCCTACTACAGGGGGTGGAGGTGGGGAAACAGGATGAGGAAACCACTTCCTAGCTCATCGGGAACTTAATTGAGCTCTGCACCTGATCAGCCAAGTCTTCTTCCAAATGACAACTTGACCCTGGATTGTCTTGGCTCTGACTTGGCATTTCCTGGGGATGCCATTTTTATTAACGGTAATACTTGCTTAACTCCCTCTGGCCTTCTGAGAAGGGTTTCATGGGACTTACTTGGACAAAATCTAGGATGCCAGGTTCCAGCTAAGACTGCCCAACGTACAGCTCCAGTTACTGCAAGAAAAGAGGACTTGGCAGCAGTGACTGGTCTAAGGTCATGTGTCTGACTGGACAAAACCCATGCCTAGATCCCAGATTTTCCTTGTCTTTCTCCTGTGTTATGGGATTTCACCTTGGAATTATCTACTTTCATAGTTGTTATCTCAAACTCTGTGTTCTTAACCTCAATCTCTCCCATATCATGTTCATTCACTCACTCACTCATTCAACAACACTTAGCACATACCTACCTGTGCCAGGCCAAGTTCCAGCACTGGGTTTAAATCCAAGCTTCTTACTTCCTGACCCTGATACCTACCACTTAGACCTCACTTTCTTCCTCTCTAGAGTGGGCATGAATTTAAGAGTCCCGTGCCTGCCTCAAGGAGTTTAGTGAAAATCAAATGCCGTGATGAGGGAAGGTGCCTTGCACATTCAGGATGAAAGCCAGCTTTTGTTTTTGGGAAGAATGCTCTTGGCTACCTCGTGGAAGAACCCAAGACCTCCCTACAAATCTCCCTGAGGACAGGGTGCCTCACTTGCCTGCTCCTGCAGGAGTGAACCCCTTCCCGTGGGGGTCCTGATGAACAGGCCACACACAGTGGTCTCCAAGACCGTCCAGCTACCACGTTCTTCGGTCCCAGGAGATCCGGCCTCTGGTCTAAGCTGAGGCTTAGGGGCTTCCAAGTTCAAGTTCCGCTTCAGGAGCCTCTTCTGCAGGACTCTGGACTATGGCTTCTTGTTTTCTTCCGGGCTGCACAGTAAAATCTGAGAGTAGCTGAGCAGCCGAGTTCGACTCTTAAACAAGTCACACGGCTTCTCTTTCTCCCTCTGCCATCCCCAGCCCCAGTTCTCCCTCTTGTCCCAGGAGCCCGCCCACCTGAAAATCAAAAGACAAGCTCCCTGCAATTCCGGGAGATCTGTTCTGAGTGAAGGCTGCAGAAGAGCCGAGGTATCTGGGGTTTTGGAATCAAATTTCTTCTTCTGCCGACAACAGATCGTGTCTAATCAAAACCCTTAATTAAAAAAAAAACTCAGGTACTTAATTTGATTTGCTTATTTGCATAATATCGGAGGACAAAAGAAATCTGCTCCACAGGCCACGTTTCTGCTGCAGGCCAAGTGCTGGTCCCTTGTGGTCTGCCCTGTTGATAGGGGCTGGCTTTGGGAGAGACAGAGGGCTCCCCGCAGTGAATGCCGTTCAGCTGCTGGGGGTGGGCTCACGGGAGGGCCCGCTCCATAAGTGAGAAGTTTCTGGAAATGTCTTGGTAGGAAAAAAGCTTTTGTCCCACATTTCCACTGCTGGTGTAAAATGCCAGATTTCCTGAAAGTGGACCCCTTTTGCCTGCGGTATGAATGGAATGCGATGTCCAGGGCTTTAGGGAATGAACTTGATGGAGACAGGCGGAGGCTGCGGGGGCGGGATGGGGGGGAGAGGGCAGTGAAGAGGGGGCGCTGGAAGCAAGTTGTAACCTTTCACATCCTTGCCAGCCATGGGTGGCGTTTTTGCTTCTGTTGGTCTGTCTAACTGTCCTCATTGGAACGCCGTATGCGTGTCTAAGGACACATGTTCACAGCAGATTAGTCTAAAAGCCGAAAGGAATAGAAAGTTCCACTTGAACAGTACTGACTTCAGGCACCTGAGCCAAGTCCCGCAGGGCCGTCTCTGCCACCCTGGACGTTGGGTCAGACAGCCGGGCGATGCACTTGAGGGCCAGCAGGGGGCGCCCCAGAGTCGGGAGGAGGGCCATCCAGCCCGGACCAGAGCCGGGAACTCCGGAAAAAGAGAGCAGCGCTGAGAATCTGCACAGCTGTTTTGCATCACATATTCAGCTCTGTTCAGAAATGAGGTGAAATCAGGCTATCGGAACTTTGAGCAAATGTTTGCGTCCATTTTATTATTAAAGATTGTGTTTGATAAGCCCGTTTTTTCCCCCTCAAATGGTGTAAGTGATTGCTTAGAAGAGCTCCATTTCACGTCTTTTAATTTTGAATTATTCTCTTATTTGTAATAAAGCACCAGTCAAGACCAGAATTAGTATTCTGGAAGAAAGGGCTTAATGAGCTAAAACATTTCTATCTGGGGTAGGAGAGCATCTTATCTGGCTTAAGTGTTTTAGAAGGAATTTGCAAGGCAAGAGGCAGAATATTTGGTACGACTAAGTCGGGAAAAAAACACACTCTCTTCTCTTTTCCCGTGTGCGTAATAAGCCAGTTCATATGGCAGTGCCTTCCTGTACAGTGAGGTTCAACCTGGAGCGCTTGATACAGAACTCGGGCTTTTCATTTCAGGTGCGCTGGGATATTTCATTAACAAGAGTTAAGGAAGAACATAGCTTTCTTTTTTCCAGTTCCATTTCTGGCATCGGGTGCGCTATCATATATCATTGTCTGCAGCAGGCGACTTTGGAAATAGCTGACTATTAGCAACTTAATTGCCCTTGAATATACAATGCACACTTGTGCGGAGTGTTCGTGGCGAAGGCTGCCAACAGACAGTGAAATTAGAAAAAATGCCCTCTTGGGTTACATCTGTGCTGAAGTTTTAAAGAAGGAATAAAAGAAGATGTGGCTGTTAATGGAAGTTTTAGCAGGGATTTAACAACTGTCACTCCATTTCAGGCACCTATTTGGGCTCTTGCTCTGTGTTATAGGCTAGTTAATATCTAGTGTATGGGTAAACAGGTACTCTGAGTATCTTTACCCGAGTATCTGTTGGTCCACTGACTTTTTTGAATTATGGATGTAAGAAAGATCTTTAGAATGTAACATTTGATAGTAATGGTTTCATAAGAAAGGATGTTCATTATACACATTTTACAAAGTCCTGAGAATTATACCTGGGTTTAAAAATCAGTACATATAGCAAGACCTCAGTTACATAACAACTGAAAGCAAGTATCCAGAATGATGCAAGTCAGGAATCTGAACAACCAGATACCTGAGGTGCATTTATGTCCTCAGCGCCTCCTGTTTATAGTGGGATACGTAAATGTAAACATTTTCATTTGGGCAAACTATTAAACAAGTTAATTTAGAAGGCTGGTCAGAGTGCAGATTTTGACAAAAATATTAAGTGAGATTACTGTTGTACCTAGGCTGTTAAATGGTAGTGGTGCTGGCCAAGGATAGTTATGGAGGCTAACATAATATAATATCAGAATTTTAATAAGTTAGAAAGGACACAGAAAATGAGTGAAAGGAAGAATGGCTTGAGCCAGGAGGCAATTGAACTAGAGATGGTTTCAAGAGCTGAGCCGACCATTCATTTTGTAGAAAGAAATCCTTGTTATGCTTTGATTAAAACTTTTCCAAATTAGCTTACAATAAAATTGATTTTTTGTGTATATACACTTATGAACTTTAACACATTGTACAGATTCCTGTAACTACCATCACATTCAGGATTCAGAATAGTTCCATTAACCTCAGAAGCTGCTCCCTGCAATTCCAGAAGTCTCACCTCTTCCTCTCTTAATCCTGGAGACCATGAACCTGTTCTCCATCGCATCAGTTGTGTCCTTCTCTAAAAGGCAAGTGGATGGAGGCAAGCAGTAGGTGGCTTTTTGAGATCGGCTTCTTTCACTCAGCAAAGTGCCCTTAACAGTCATCCAGGATGCTGCGCACATTAGTAACTTCTCTTGTTTACGCTTGGTTAGTAACTGGGCTCCCCTGGTGGCTCAGATGGGAAAGAAGCTGCTTGCAGTCCAGGAGACCTGGGTCCAATTCCTGGGTCGGGAAGATGCCTGGAGAAGGGAGTGGCAACCCACTCCAGTGTTCTTGCCTGGAGAATCCCACGGACAGAGGAGCCTACAGTGACTAACTGACTGTATGACTATATGACTGAGTGACTAACCAAGATAAACTCCACTTGGCATGTGATTTGTTTTACATCTTGCTGGATTTGATTTGATGATATTTTGTTGATGATGTTTGCTTCTATGTTTGTAATGGATATTAGTTGGTAGTTTTGTTTTCTTGTGTTGTCTTTGGTTCGGTTCTCGAGGTAGATGACCTTATAAAAACGTGTCGAGGATCATTCTCTTGTCTTCTATTTTCAGGGATTCTGCAGAATTGGTTTTATTCCTTCTTTAAATGTTTGACCGAGATTACCAGTGAAACCATCTGTGTTTGGAGAGTTCTTGTGAGTAAAGTTTTAAATGACAAAAATTCAAATTATTTAAATTTATAGAACTATTCAGCTTTTCTATTTCATCTTGGGTACATTTTGGCAGTTTGTAGTTTTTGTGAATTGAGTCATTCCATTTAAATTGTTGAGTTTTTGTGAATAGACTTATTCTTAGTTTTCATTCATTATCTTTTCAATATTGCCAACTCTGCCTATAGTAATATCTTCTCTTTCATTCACAGTATTAATAATTTGAATCTTCTCTATCTCTTTTGGGATCAGGTTTGAAAATTATCATTTCTATTGATCTTAAAAAAAAACCCTTTTGCTTCTTTGACTTTTTCCTATTTACAGTTTTACTTATTTATATTCTTATTTTTAGTATTTTTATTTTATTATTCCCTTCCTCTGCTTGTTTGGATTTATTTTGCTCATCATTTTTTTTAGTTCATTTTAAAATTAAAGGTTAAATTAATAACCCGAGACCTTTTAAATTCTCTAATACAAACATTTCATGCTATAGATTTCCTTTAGACCCACTCCTTTTGTGTTATATAAAGAGGGTAAGTGGTAATGTCAAATCATTTTCAAGAATGCAAATTACAAGCTGTTTTTCCCCAGCCAATACGATTAAAATTAAAAACCCCTCAAACTATGCACCTACAGATTAGGCTAGAGAGGGGTCCGAGTCTGTCAGATGTCTTGTTCTGTGTATTCACATTTCTATAGCACAATGGTGGCCCCGAGCTTTGAAGAAAAGGTTGAGTAATAACCTATGGGTTCTGTTTGCTGTGTCATGGAATGAATGACCAATACGTTTTAGAATGAAGTCCACAGAGTGTCGGTCTGGCTTTTCCCTTCATTATTCAGAACCTCTCATTGCAAGGTGACTGGTACGGTGCCACGCTTCAGTCAGAAAACATGTCAGACCCGTTAGAACTCCCAGGAGGACTCATGTCTGTGAGGATTTCTCTGGAAAAAAAAAAAATCCAAACTACACAAAAATTCTTATTTCAAGAATGCTTTTGAGAAGAACTGGCGTGGCAGGCGGTCACTGGGCTCTTACCTCAGCCTCGCCTGGATGGTTTTCTTTCTGCGCCGCTTGACCCACGGCTTCTCTCAAGCTCCACATCGATTCTTGTGAGGCGCGTCCACCCTCAGCGCTTCAAACACTGAGGTTCTTTGTTCTCTGGAGATTTGGCAGTAGCCAACAATGCCTCCTCCCTCAGTGTGTGGGAGTAGGTGAATTTCTTATCATGGTAAAACACACATAGCGTAAACGTGGCCATTTCAGCCATTTTAAAGCGACATTAGTGGCACATTCACATTTGTGCGAACATCACCACCCCTCCCTCTCCAGAGCTTTTTCATCCTCCCAACTTAAACCCTCCACCCATCAAACACTGACTTCCATTCCTCTCTCCCACCCATGGCACCCCATTCTGCTTTCTGTCTGTATGAACCTGTCTCCTCTAAGTACTCTGTATGGGTGGAATCATAAAACATTTGTTCTTTCACATTAGCTTATGTTACCTAGCGTGATGTTTTCAAGGTTCATCCATGCTGTAGCCTGTGCCAGAATTTCCTTCTTTTACAATTTTCTAATTTTAATTTTTTCAGCTAAAAGTCTGATATCCACTTTATTTTTAGTTTTTATTGAAGTATAATTAACTTGGGGGTTCTCTTGTGGCTCAGCTGGTAAAGAATCCGCCTGTAATGTGGGAGACCTGGGTTCAATCCCTGGGCTGGGAAGATCCCCTGGAGAAGGGAACAGCTACCCATGCCAGTATTCTGGTCTGGAGAATTCCATGGACTGTATAGTCCTTGGGGTCGCAAAGAGCTGGACACGACTGAGTGACTTTCACTTTCACAATTAACTTACAATTTATTAATTACTTCTGTATGGCAAAGTGATTCAGTTATACATACATAAATTATTTTATTATATTCTTTACTGTTATCATTTGTCAAAGCATATTGAACATAGTTCTCTGTGTTATGCAGTAGGACCTTGCTGCTCATCCATTCTATACATAAAAGCTTACATCTGCTAACCCCAAATTCCCACTCCACTGCCCCCAACTCCCTCCCACTTGGCAACCACAAGCCTGTTTTCTATGTCTGTGAGTCTGTTTCTCTTGTGGGTGTGTTCATTTATGTCATATTTTAGATTCATATATGAATGACATCATATAGTATTTACCTTTCTGACTCACTTCACTTAGTTTGATAATCTCTAATTACACCCATTCCTTCTTTCCATTTTTATGACTTACTAGTATTCTATGGGGTTTCCTTGGTGGCTCAGATAGTAAAGAATCTGCAGGAGGAGGGCTGGAGGAGAAGGGGGCGACAGAGGATGAGATGGTTGGATGGCATCACTGACTCAGTGGACATGAGTTTGGGCAAACTCCGGGAGACGGGGAAGGACAGGGAAGCCTGGCGTGCTGCGGTCCATGGCGTTGCGGAGTCAGACGTGACTGAGGGACTGAACAACAACAGCCTTCCGTTGTTTGCACAGCTGCATTGCATTTGTTCCTTTGTTGTTTCCTTTCTAGCTCATTTGGCAGCAAGACATTCTGAGTTTCCTTTCAGCTGACGGATAGGTAGCAGGGAAGTGCTTCTGTACCATTAAGCTATTGGAAGATCTCGGATCTAGCTTACTGGATTACTAAGCATGCT